CCCCCCCAGCTCCCGGTGCCCCCCCCCAGCTCCCGGTGCCACCCCCGCGCCAGCCCAGACAAACAAAAGGGGCACAAACAGCGCTTTGTGCTGTGGCCCCGGAGCCGGGTCAGGCAGGACCCATAATCCTCATCAAGGAAATGAAGCCACGCATTGATTCCCCACCAGGACGGCCTCGCCTCACCCCTTACGTGCCACGGGGCCACGCTGCACCGGTGGCACCGGGACCGGCCCCGGACCTGCCGCCGCACGGCAGCCAGCGGCTCTCCGGGCACAGCCCCGAAATTAAGAGCCACACTCCCTAATTAGCCCTTCCCGGGCAGGAAGAAGTGTTTGGCTACAGGGTGAGGCTGCAGCTCAGGCACTGGCATCCCCAGCCCCAGGGGCTGCAGAGCTGGCAGAACAGGGACCTCAGCCCCAGGGTTGGCAGCAGGAAAAGGACCCCGCTGCCCCCAGCCATGTTCTCTCTCTGGGGACCACAAGGCACACAAAGGCCTCACACCTTCACTCTCCCCCACAGGAAAGAGCAGGGAGGAAGAAAAATAACAGCTTAGAGGAGCTCGTAAACACACCAGCAGCGTGTCCTGCAAGGGCTCCCAAAGCTGATCCTTGGCCTCACAGCCACAAGCTGCTAAGGAGCTATGAAACCAGCTGAGGTGACATTTGCCCCCAAACAAACACAGGCAGCTCAGAGCCCAGCACAGGTCTGGGCTCTGCAGAGCAGGACCCTGCTCCTCTACCTTCCCAGAGGCTGGAACAGCTCTCAGGCTGTAAACATGCAATGATCAGAGCACAGCCAGAGCTGGCACTGAGCTGTAGCCACAGCACCATGTTCCACAGCCCCAGGAGCAAGACATGAGTCAGCAGGTCAGGACAGCCAGGGGTCCAGGGGGCAAAGAGCAGAGTCCACACAGCAATGGAAAAAAAGAGAGAGGAATCATTTTTATTTGTGAAGTGTGTTAACAGATGGAACAGCTTCATGCTACCCAGCAATAAAGGTATTAGACCCCTCTGAGCATTGTCTGCTCTCAGGCTTCTATGTAATGCAAACATCACAATGGCTCAAAAGCACAAGAACACAATGTCAAACTGCACCCAGCACTGCAGCCCCTGCACTCTGCTTCATCCCCCATGGCAGCAACTGAAGATACAACAACCCAGAAACATGTTAATCCATGTTATCCAGCACCCAGCTCTAATGCTGCCTCCTGGCTGTCTGGTGAAAAGGGGCCTGCAGCAGCTCTGGGGGAGTTGAGGGGCTCCCACCCACCTCAGGCTGGCCCAGCTCACAGCTCCAAATGCTGCAGCACATGCCAAGGAACAAGCCCTTTGCTCTTGCTTCCCCCAGAGCCACACCAGATGTGCCTGGTGGCCCTGGCCAAGTGGCTGTGGGACACGTCACTTCCACACAGCCTTGCTCCAGGTGATGCACTGGGAATGACACAGAACCACCTTCCAAAGCCCTCCAGTCAGATGAAGTCACCCCCAGACATCACCAGAGCAGCATCTCCCCAACTCACACAAACAGGGCAGGACAACGGACCTGCTGGGACACAGGCTGTGCCAGCCACCTGCAGAGCTGCAGCACAAGGAACCACACACACCAGTGTGGTCAGGTCTGTCATCCACAGCCCCTTGCGTGGCCTCAGATGCTGAGGTGGGGACAGGGGGGCAGTCGAGTGGCCCTACCCAGCACACCCTCCTCCTCCCAGAGGGGAGGGAGAGAAGCTCTACTCTCTCCTAGCCCCTCTGTTCCAACATGAAGAAACTGAGGACAGAGACAGCCAGTGACCTAGACTACCATAAACAAGGGATTTACACTTACAGGTAGAAAAACCCTCCCACAACTCTTTTTTTAAAAAAAAGTGTATTTTAGATTCTACAACTTAAGTTTCTTTAGAAAGTGAAGCAAGGATGCACTAGAATATTTCATGGTGCTATTTTACCAAAAAATTAGAAGAAAAAATAATTATCCAGATGAGTTCTTCATCTACACTTCACCTGGCAGGAGAGAAAGAAAAGCCCATTAGATGACCCAGCTGCCTGGCCCCTCGGGCCCCCCAGAGCCCCCAGCCTGCAGGGTCAGCCCAGCCCTGCAGCTGCTCTCACCTGGCCCAGCTTAGTTTGCATTTCTCTGGCGGACGTTCTTGTCCTTGTGGTTTGTGGCATTGCTTTTCCTGGGAAAATAAGAGGGGCAGTGAGGAAATAAACAGCACAAAGCCCCACCCTGCCCTACTGCAATTTAGGTCCAAACAGGTGGTCAAGATAAGGGAAGAAGAGAAGGGATACCAGAGCAGAGTCAGCTTTGGGGGCACTGGCACCATCCCCAGGGGTGTGGGTTACACACAGGGCACATTAAATGACCTATGGGGGGAAGCTCCTGCCCAGCAAGTGAGGGTGTTATTCCCACACCAGCTATCTTTTTATACCCAGAGCAGGGTCCCCTGGAGGGATATGACTGGCTAGAACAAATCTGGCTACACAGGGAACAGCAAGGTACTTACAGTGGTGCAGAGCCTCCATCATCATCTTCATGTTGAGGACAGCAGGGAAAGAAAGAACAAACAGTGTCAGGGAAGAGCATGTAAGTAACCTCTGCCACCTCTTAAAACTGAGGGGCCTGTCATTCCAGGCAGGTTACTGGATAAACTGGATACTGCTGCCCCCTCAGGCCCGAACCCAAAAGGTCACCTCAGGGCTCCTGTTTCACCAGCAGAGCAGGGGGCTACCTCCAATCCCACCACCACACCCTGCATGAGTTCTAAGCTGCTGCTTCTCTGAGCTTCAACAAGGCACAAACTTAGGCATAAGCTCCTGTTACACAGTGGCTCCTGTTGGAACAGGGCATGCTGGGCTGGCAGGGTGACAGAGCCCCCACTGCCACCCCCACCACTCAGAGGTCAGCTCTGGCACCTCCTGAACCCCAAGGCACACCCCAGTACCCCAGGAGGCCACAGGAGCAGAAATCACAGGGAAGTGTCCAGACAGTCTCTGCAGCAGCTCTGACTGGTAACATCTTGTTTCCCACTGCCCCCTCAGCATTCCAGCCACTCTACCCACCACCTGCCCTGGAAGGGGGCAAGAGCCCTCAACCCACCACAGGGCAGCCCCCCCGATCTCCCTGCAGCTCTTCCCCTTCAGCACTAACCCAGCAGCTCCCAGACCTGAGCACAGCATCCACCAGCAAGTGAAGGGGAATCCAAACAGGATGTTTTGGGAATGAGGCTTCAAGCACCAGCAGCAGGACACCTTTCCTCCCCCTCACACACATTTTGTAAAACCACAATAAACACACTGCACGTTCTTGCTAGACTGAGAAGCACAGCTAAGGAAACATCTCTGCCAACACGTGTCAAGCCCTGGGCCTCTCACCAGCTCCTTGCAATCTGCCACCTTCCAACAGAAGGGTCCCCACTATCTCTTCTGCAGTCCCAGCTCCCCCCATATGGCACCGAGCAGCAGGGGCCACGCTCTAAGCACTGGGACTGCCCTGAGCACCAAGATCTGCAAGCAGCTGGTGAGAGGACAGATGCAGAAACACAGCTGGAACCATCTTCTACTTACCATTCAAGGTGGGACCCAGCAGCAGAGAAGGAAGAGTGGAAAGATAACACCAGCAAGGACACAGCACCAAGCATAGGTTGTCCCCATCCCCAATAACTAGGAGCAGCCAATTCCCAGCCACATTCCATGAGGAGCAGCATTTCCCCGAGCTGGCTCAGCAATGGCTCACTGTTGCCTCCTCTCAAGGGGGGCAAAGCTACCAAGACTTTTAGGGACAGATAACTACTTTACACCAGGAAAGTATAAAACTGTGTCCATCAGGCAGGAGTAACACTGATCTCATCCCCAAGCACTTGAGAACCCGAGCTTTAGAGCTCTGGCCAAGGAGCATCAGGACACTTCAGACCACACACCCTGTCAGTATCTGCTGAGCTCTGACAGGTCAGCACTCCACACAATCTGGACCAGCCTGATCCCTCAGCACACACAGGCCATAGTTGTTTCACTGGATGATGCAGCTACAACATCCTGAAGAAGACATTTGCCTTCCAGCCTTGGGCGTCAGAGGGCAACACATCTGCTTGTAAGCCTGTCCTGAGCAGAACTCCAACCCTGTATCAGGGAGGGATATTTCAAGCTGTTCCCTAGCAGAGGGCTGAGGGGCCTGACCCAGCAGGAAGGATCCCAAGGGTTTACTCTTCATTGTTAACTGGATCAGATAAGGCAGGGTCAGCAGAGCTAACACAATACAGATTCTCACCGATAAGGAAAGGGAGGAGCAGATATTTCCAGCACAGATTAAAGATAACGGGGCTCTGAGGAAGTCCCTGGGAGGCAGGATGTGTGCATCTCAGGACCCAAAACAGATCCATGAACTGAACCTGAATTAAGCCCAGCCTGGTCTCATGGAGATACTGACACATCTCATCCCCAAGCACTTGAGAACCCGAGCTTTAGAGCTCTGGCCAAGGAGCATCAGGACACTTCAGACCACACACCCTGTCAGTATCTGCTGAGCTCTTACAGGTCAGCACTCCACACAATCTGGACCAGCCTGATCCCTCAGCACACACAGGCCATAGTTGTTTCACTGGATGATGCAGCTACAACATCCTGAAGAAGACATTTGCCTTCCAGCCTTGGGCGTCAGAGGGCAACACATCTGCTTGTAAGCCTGTCCTGAGCAGAACTCCAACCCTGTATCAGGGAGGGATATTTCAAGCTGTTCCCTAGCAGAGGGCTGAGGGGCCTGACCCAGCAGGAAGGATCCCAAGGGTTTACTCTTCATTGTTAACTGGATCAGATAAGGCAGGGTCAGCAGAGCTAACACAATACAGATTCTCACCGATAAGGAAAGGGAGGAGCAGATATTTCCAGCACAGATTAAAGATAACGGGGCTCTGAGGAAGTCCCTGGGAGGCAGGATGTGTGCATCTCAGGACCCAAAACAGATCCATGAACTGAACCTGAATTAAGCCCAGCCTGGTCTCATGGAGATAGATACTGACACAGGCCTCTGGTTCTGCAGCACCAGAGCAGCTCTACTACCTGTTCACAAATCAGCTTCTCCAGAATGTTAACTGCTAAAGACATCCCAGTCCTGCAGACACTGGCATGAAGCACTTGAGCAAAGTGCAGAGAAACTGGCAAGACAAAGGGTCAGACTGACCCACCTGAATCTTATCTCACTCCAGATCCAAAGCACAGTTCACTGAGGAGTGTCAGAAACACTGCAACTATTTGCAACTTGGTAGCTAGCACAGCCTGGTAAAGGCGACCCTGGTTTTCCCAGAAGTGCCCTGAGCAGCAGCCCTCTCATTAACACCGACTGACATGGGGAACTCCAAGTTCTCTACAAGAACATTTTACCTGCACCCTACAAGCTACCTGGTCTCCCCAGCATGATTTAACCCCAAGGCACCTCTTACCATCAAGAATCTCATCTGGCTTCCTCCTCTTCTCATAGATGAAGATGATGGTGACGAGCACGAGGACTTCGGCCACGATGCCCAGGAAGGGCCAGAGCGCTGCCAGGCGGCTGCGCACGCGCAGGTTCACGATGGCCCCTCCGAAGCCCTGGGAGTTGGTGGCATTGCAGTGATAGTCCCCCGTGTCCTCCTCGATGCTCAGCTTCAGGATGCGAAGCTCCGTCTTGTTGCCGCTGGACTTGATGATGTATCGGCCAGAACCATTGACGATGGGCTTGGGGGGACAGAGACACAGCCCTGAGGCAGCGCTGGCAGAGGGAGCTGCTCACCCACCAGCAAGGTCCTGCCAGCACAGGAGCCCTCCTGCCCGTGGCACTGAGGAGGCTGCTCTGACACAGCCAGTTTGAACGGGACCAGGTCCTCCAGCTCCTGGCTGGGAGGCAGGACGGGAGAAAGAACAAACACCACAGCACTTACCTCTTGACCATTTTTGTACCAGACCCAGGAGTTGACAGGGGGGAAGGAGGGATTCTTGCAGGTCAGCACACCTGTGTCCCCCTCATTCCCATGCTCAGACTTCTTGTATGCAATCACTTGGGGTGAAACTGCAGCCAGAGAAAAATAAGACACTTCATCATAACAAGGTGAAGATTTCTGTTCCCCTCCCTTGCCCAGCTTTTTGGCATTTTCAGAGCAAGACAAGTTGCTGGAGAACAGCTCAGACAGGTTTGTCCACAAGGCATTGCCCCTCTCTCATCACTCTTGTGGGAAGATGCCCACAGCAAAAGGCTGATTTAGTGCAAGGTCAAAGGGCTGACCCTGCAGACACTTCAGCTGCCTGGTAAAGTGCAGCTGCCCCATGCAGCACTCTGGCAGCAACCCAGAGAGTCCTGCAGCTCTGCTAATAAGGGCTAGAAGCAGCCTTTCAAGAAGCTGGAAAGATACCAAAGCAAAGTGTTCAGGAGACCACAGCTTTCCCACTCCCCTCCTGGGACCCAGAAGCAAACACATGAAGTTACCTGAAATATTCACTTGTCCTTTAATCACTGGGTTCGTTTTGTAGACACATTCATAGACACCAGAGTGCTCCTCCATCTTCCCCTCAATCCTACCAAAAACCAGGGTGTCAGATGAGCATTCAGCACGGACACCAAACTCCAGGCCCACAGAAACATCTGCTTGTTGCTGATGTCTGTAGATTCTCCCATTCCAGTGGCCAGTATTTACACTGCACCCCCTGCAGCCCAACCCTCCACACCAGGCAAAGCAAAGGACATTCTACAGGTCTGTCATGGCAGAGATCACCCAGACCTTGTGTTCTGAATCCTGAACAACAGCAGCTTTCACTCCCTAAGCCAAGGAATTCTTGCCATCAGGGTCTTTCCAGTAAGAATGAATTGAAGACCCAGACTGTTAGGTGTGACAGACTAAGGGAGCAGGAGCACCAGGACAGCTCTGCACCAGACACAGAGCATCACACAGGCTTCAGGAGTGACCAACTCCACACAGACCACTGGCCAATTAAAAAAAAAAATTAAAAAAATCACACCCTGCAGAGCAAACCCAGCAGGATCTGGAGGGCAGCAAGAGAGTTCTCTGGTCAGCCCAGCCCAGGACATGGCCACACACCCCGTCAGCCCTGCAGGTCATCTCTGGAGACAGGCAAGGAGCTCAGGTGGAAGGCTACCCTTCCCACATAGGAAAGCCCACTGAAACTCATGGCAAAGCAGTGGCAGAGGAACACCCTGGCTGGGCCACTCTGGAGTGATCCAAGCATAGGGAGAACTCTCCCATTTTCCTTTGTGTAAAGTGGCTGCAATGGGATTTAGTGGATTATGCTGCACCACAACAAACATCTCATTCTGCAGCTCAGTAATACCCACTGGAGGGAAGGGACAAGCAAAGTTTCAGTCCCGTGGCTGCACTGGGACAACAGGCTGTTTGTCAGTTCTGCTGTGCACGGCACTTCCCACTTCCAAAAACCACTCAGCTAAGGAATTGAGGTCACGCGAGGGAGGCTGGGTTATAAATACTTTAATCCTTGTTCAGCTCCCTGTTGCTATGGGGAGACAGGCACGTCGGCACTGCCACACAAAAGGACATGATGCCTCTACAGCTGCTGGGTCAGTGCCAGCCAGGCCTGACTGTAATCGGAAAGGAAAGCTCACTGCACTGTTACAATACGGCTGGTATTCCCACTTCTGCTCAGCTACACCCTGCAAACCCTTCCCCAGCACTGACCACAACCTGCAGGCAACTTCCCAGCTTGTTTGGGAAGAATGGCTGGACTTTGGAAAGGTACATAAAACCCAGAGGCAGAGACTACACTCAGTGGAGCCTCTTGTTCCACACGTGGCCTCTGGGATGCAGGGAGTTGACATCCTGGCCAGAGCAGGGTCCCTCAAAGCTCTCCCAAAACCCTACACCTTCAGCAAAGCACTCAGCTTTGGCTCAGCTGATGGAAACCTCAGCTGCACCGGGTAGAAGACCTGTCCCCTATGTTCAGATCCTTATCTAGCCTTGCCCCTGACACTCACATGTAACTGGTGAAAGCATTTGTCTCCGTGTCTGCTTGAAGGACCTTGTCTCCATGCGTCCACTCGTGGCCCTCGATGGCAGGGTATGGTGCACTCATGCTGCAGGAGAGGTTTAGCTTCCCAGAAACATAACTTACATTAACTTTGATGTCTGGACCTGCACAAATAAATCAACCCAAGTTAAGAAGTAGTATTTCAGAGGTCACCTGCCTGCCCAAGAACCTCTAACACAGTCACCAAACCCCACAGTTCCTTGTTTCTATCATAGCTCCCACTTACCTTTGCAGTTTCCTACCACATCTGATGGTACCAATAGAGGAGAGGCTCCAAAAGCAGGTGCCTGACTGCACCCAGACATGAGCAGAGCTGCCCCTGCAGCTGCTCCCTCCTGGGCAGGGTCACTGCTGGGTGCTCTGGGCAGTCCTGAGCCTCCGCTGCCCCTGCAGCCCTGCAGAGCCCAGTGCTCAAATGGGAAGGTCCTGCTGGGAAGGGCAGCTGCCCCAGCTTGGCTCTGCTTCCTGAGCCACCTCAGCACTGGCTGTGCCAACACCCCCAGAGCCTGAGCAGGTTCAGACACCTCCAGGTGCCACAATGGACCCTCTGCTGCGAGGGGCAGCAAACAAGATCTGTGCAAGCAACATGGGCAACATCTGATGCAGCCCAAGGGTTAGATTTACTCCAGGGAGAACACCCAGAACCCTGACTCCAAAAGGTCCTGGGCCTCCATGTGCCAAGCAGCAGTAAATTATGCAAGATAAGATGACTCAAGTGTTTCTACATGCAGGAGGCAACCCAAGGAATCTGCTGCCCTTGGCAGCAGCACCACTTGGTGCCCCTACAGTTCCTGCCCCTTCTCCCCATAGTCTCCTGGAAGAACATTTCTTGCACAGGGCTGAAAGGTATTTTGTTTTTCATCCTACCCAAATCCCACTGGAACAAGGTTCTGCTGGAGTTCTGTGTTCCCTAGCACTTTTATGCTGGGAAGACTGCCAGGCTGCTCTGCTACATTCAGGATTCACAGTCAGACCTTAGCAGGACTTTAAACTCCCTCACCCTGGCCCAGGTCTCCAACTCAAGGCAGCTCCAGAGCTTGGCTCCAGAGGGGACCTGGTCACTCCCACGAACAAGCCACTACAGCACACTCAGTGTCACACAGACACGGCCTTTTCAAAAATGGTTGCATCTCAGGAAACTCAAAGCAGGTTTTGCTCCCCACAGCTTGGATCTCTAGCAGGAAAGCAAGCTTAAAGCAGGACTGTTGGCAAGAGCAGGAGCTGCACGAGCTGCAAGGAAGGGCTGCTTTGTCAGTGGTGGTTAGGGTAGAGTCTACTGCAGAGTCAAGACTCAATTCTACAAGCCAGCACCAGGACTTGAAGGCTCTTGGGAATAAGCAGGAGGTTCCAGGTCTTTGGCTCTGGAAAAGGCGCAGGATTCCCGGAGGGTGTTTTGGTTGGGAAGCCACAACCCTTTTTGAGCAGGACCATTTTGGGTCAAGTCACGGGTGGTGGGGGAGATAAGAGGGTGGGAGTCTCTCGGTTCTACAGCTGGGGTGGGAAGGTGAGGGGAGCTTTCGGGAGCCACAGGACATGGGTGCAGGGGTGAACATGGCAGGAGACTCAAGACACTGGTGTCTGAGCAAGTGCCAAGGCCTCAGTGTGGCCACTCACGTTCAATGACAAAAACGTTTGCCTGGGAACGGATCCACTTGACTTTGGGGCTCTTCGACAAGTGGTTGCGGTCGGGGTCGTTGCTGGCCCGGCACTCATACATGCCCGAGTCGTCGCTCGTGAGGTTTGCGATGGAGATGGTGCTGGTGGAGTGCAGGTTGTAGGTGGCGTTGATTTTGACACGGTCCTGCCGTGCGCCATCCCAGAGCTGAGCATAGGTCTCATTGGGCTCGTTTCCCTCAAACCACCACTGGATCTCAGGGATGGGATTGCCAATCGCCTCGCAGTACAACTCCACGCTGTCCTGAGTCAGTCTCTTTTGAGACAGCGGTGACTTTATAAAACCAGCTATGAGTTGAAGAGGTATTAGTGCAAAGTGTTAGTGCAAAGCAAGAATTCACCCTCTACAAGCAAAGAAAAAAAAAATCAGCCATTGAGGAGAGGCCACGAACAATCCTCTGATCAGTGTGATGTTCCCTCTCCCCCCCTCCACACTCTGCCCAGCTCTGACAGGGCTGTTATTTTGGATCGTTAGATTTCCAGCCAACAACACTCCCTGAGACTCTGCTGCAAAGCCAGAGCACCCCAACCAGCACAGTGTTTGCCACTACCCCAAGAGACCCACAGCAGCACCTGCCTTCGGGGCAAACATCTTCACACAATATTGAGGTAATGGCTTTTCTGGGGAGGGATGCCTTCCAGTCTGCAAGGTGAGGAAATGTAACATTTGTTGTCACACAAACAGCAAAACCAGACTTTTCATCTCAGGCATGATAAGCCTGCAGAGCTGAATGGGAAATAAAGATTAAAAGCAGAAGCAGCTGCAGGCTAGAATGATGGTATTTTTCAACCTGCCCTGGCAGTCAGAGGCCAGGGGGCTCAGCGCTCCAAGCCAGAAGGTCCAAAGGGAGACCCCTGAGCCTCCAGGCTTTGTCACACAAACAGCAAAACCAGACTTTTCATCTCAGGCATGATAAGCCTGCAGAGCTGAATGGGAAATAAAGATTAAAAGCAGAAGCAGCTGCAGGCTAGAATGATGGTATTTTTCAACCTGCCCTGGCAGTCAGAGGCCAGGGGGCTCAGCGCTCCAAGCCAGAAGGTCCAAAGGGAGACCCCTGAGCCTCCAGGCTGCAGAAAGCTGCAGCTCCATCATCCTGGGGCCACTGGCCAGGGGCAGCCCAGCCATGGCCATCAGCCACCCCCAGGAGCAAATGGCCAGAGCCTGCTCAAGGCAGCAGGAAAG